AATAACAGCCTGTCCGTTTTTGGCCTGTTGCCAGGCATCAATCGAGTTGGTATCAATCCGACTGTTTAGGGCCTGTAATTGTGTCAGTATAGCCGCCATTTCTCTTTGCACCTGGTTCATTTGGGCGTCCCGTTCGCACAGTTCGTGTCGCACCCGATATAGTATATCGTCCGACAGTTTCTGGTGCTCGGCACGAGAGTCCCGCTCCAGACGGCCGCCCACTCGGTCTAACACACGGGCTATGTCTGACCGCTTGATGGCCCCCAACCACAGCCCACCAAACACGCCGACACACGTCCACACAATGCCCAACATGTTTATGACAATCACAGCCCCTGTGAACCATAGCGCGTATTGGATGGTGTGATTCATACCTAATCCATGTGTGGTTTAAATATATTTATTTTTAAAAATTATCTAGATTTATTTTTATTTAATTCAATTTATTTTTCTTACCCAGCGTCTGTTGTCCAACCTGACGAGGTGGTTGCATGCTAGTCTGGTTCATAATTATAATATTAATTCATTTAGTAAAAATTTAGCTAACCAATACATTATTTACTGTTTATGTTTTTAAATGTAAATGCATTTTAAACATGCGCATAAGTTAATATATTACTTTAACACAAATAAAGTAGATTTATTTAATTAAAAGTTACTTTTTACTTTAATTGACAAATACAACAAATTGATTGTCGTTTAATTGAAAATCATTTATAAATACTGTGAAGCATTAAATTTATTACATAACTTGCCTTAATAATTGAATTATCATGGTCTCAAGTATTTTATAAAAGTTTAATTAGAGAAATAAGTATAAAAATTACATGAAATGCAATTAATTAAATTTGATAAAAATAATTTTGTACTAATTATGTAAATCAAATTTAGTCTAATAGTAATTAAAGCACTAAACAAATCACAAATGAATTACAATTATATATCATTGTAAATGTCACCACAACCAATTAATTGTTATATTACATTGTACTATAATAATTATAGTTAATTATTAACTTAATTTGAGAAAACCCCCAAACCCTCCGCCTGAGCCATCAATAGTAGTGAGACGGCCGCCACCAGCCCTACCACCACCGGAACTAATACTGCCAATACCACCCCCTCCATACCCACCACCCCATCCGTCTGACCCACCGGGCAATGGCAAAGGCAGGGGTAGTTTAATGTCACCAACTTTTACATTCACACTTTTATCTTCGTAGGTATTGTTTGTCACACTATTATCGCTGTTATCAATATGAGTGGTGTACGTGTTTTTGATGATTGCCGGGGGACTCGACGCCTGATCTAATAATCGAGTGTTAAGCTCTGCGACGGCACGATCTAGCCTGTCAATTTGATCTTGTTGCTTTTGTAACACATCAACAATCCTACCCTGTAGTAACTCAACGGACTCATTCTGACGCTCAACTAGGGCATTAATATCACTCGTGTTAACAATATTATGATCTCCACCACCACTACCGAGGTAGTTTAACACATTTGCAATATAATCACGTTTGATTAGACCAAACCACACAGCTCCAAACACACCGACACTAGTCCAAAATAAGCCCAACATGTTGACCATAATCACCGCAACAATAAACCAGGCGCCGTAACGGATTAATTTATTTGTATCTAAATACATTGTTATTTTGTCAGTTTTAATTTAATGTTACATATTTTGGGATGATAATTTACCCCGATTCCATCGTATTATTATATCGGTGTCCGCAGTATTACCCTGGTCCATTATGTGAATTGTAAAACACTCTTTTTAAACATCTAAATGTTTTCAATTATAGTTAATTATAATTATACCCTAATTATAGTTTAGCAACATTTAAAAATGTAAACAGTGTTTTAAACATGCGTATAATGAGCACCACGTACACCAAAATACAGTGGATTAAATTTATTTAAAACTTCTAACAGTATACGAAATACAGAATAATCAATTCTACCAGTCTGTATTTTTATCACGTTTATAAATCACATTAAAATAATAATAGTTAATTAAATAAATTTAATATGTGTTGTTTGTTGAATAGGGTTTTACATAATTTACATTGTTTTTGTTGTAAATTTGATTTCATAGCAAATATTCACCTTCAAGGTTTTCACTATTACAGCATATTTTATTAAATAAAATAACATTAAATAATAAATAAATTTTATGATACAGCATTTACTATTAGGGTGACCAACTTACTTTTTTCAAAACCGGGACATTTCATAAAAAATTATTGAAAATTCCGGGACATTGCAGTGCCTTTCATAATTTCTACAGGGACTTTTTGTGTAACACTCCATTTTCCCCGGGACACTCAATGGTACCTGTAAAAACCCCACCGGGACAAAATGTGCCAAACAGGGACTTGTCCCGGAAAAAAGGACGAGTTGGTCACCCTATTTACTATACAGTAGTATTTAATACAATTTTTAGTTATGATAATGACAATTAAGTAAAAACCATAATACCATTTTTAGCAATAAAATATTTTTGTAAAATGTTTAAAATAAAATCACAAATGTGGTCATATATAATTAATTTACTCTTAATTAGACTAGATTGAAGTTAGAGTAAATGATGCTATGTTATTTTATAAGTTATTAATAATAACTTATGATTAATTAATGTATGTGAATTTAATAAATGTAAAAGTCTCACTATAGCACTTTAATAGCTCGCCCATTGTATGTGGCACTAGAAATAAGTTTAAAACATTATTTGTAATTCAAGTTAAACATAAACAAATTACAACATACCTGATCAATTTAGCGCCGGGCTTTTTATCGTATTTAGATGTAAAATCCACGGTTAGATTAGTACCAGGCTGAATTGGGTTTCCGGCAATTATATATATTTTACCCTCGGGTGACGACGATATAATATTACCGCCGTTATTAACCTTATCATTTATATAACATTATTATTATTATTATCCAACTTGTTAGATAATTTAACTTTTCAAATATTTATACCACGATGTGGTTAACACTTACTTTGAGTCTAACCCTATTGTTATATCTCAATACAAGACTCCAATAAAGTGCTGGTTCTCTGATATCGATGGCGGCCTCTGTTTTGTTGGGCTCCTGTTTGATCACCCGATAGGTTACGGAGCACTGGTAGGCATAGGACAGCACCAGAATAATCACCAACACGTATATTAATTGTGTGTTCACTCGAGCCTAGGGTTTATATAGAATCATAAACATACATGGTCAAAACAATATATTAACTTTTTAATTAACTGAATTTACAAACCATTTTTATATATCCTTATTATTACTACTATTACAAGAAAAAAATGTTAGAATAATATATTGAAAAATTACTTGTATTCAATCACGTTGTTATAAATATAAATAACTATTTACTTAATTAGCGATAGTAAATATCACATGAAATGCTTAGAAATTTGTAGACATGTTTTGTCACACTTTATCTGCGATGATATGGTGTTAGTGATAACAATACAGCGCACAATGAGTTACTATTAATAACTTAATAATGTCAATGGTATTTGTTTTTGCAATTAATAAATAATCATGTGCAACATGACAATGAATAGGAAATTGCAAAGAATAATTTATATTCCACAGTATAATACAGTATATCCATACATGCACATTTTACAAAATACTACATACACTGACAAAACACTTGTATTAATTAATTAATAGACATGTTTTTATGAGAAAACATTAATTTATAGCGGATTTAATGCTTTAATAATAACTTTCAAAGAATGTCTGTATAAAAATTGTTATGTTTAGTGAAAATCAAATTTGATTAATTATATAATAATTTATAACATGATAAGTGAACATTATTTTATTTACTACCCAACCAATTTGGTCTAATTCATAAAATGACATTTAGCACAATTAATTCAAATAGGATTTTATTTTAATCAAATAAAATACATTATTAATTCAGTATTTATTAATAACATAAGAACTTAATTGATTTTTTAAAAATAAATTCTATAAACAATTAATAGAAAATTTATTTTGTTTTTGCCATACAGTTATATTGAGTCAACTAACTGATCCAGCACAAAGCCAGCAGAATACCAGCTGACAAGTGACAAAATGGTATTTGTACACCAGGTCATATCCAAGTAATCGACCAGAATTAGGGTCACAATTGATGCCATGATCAACAATGTATGTCCGATCCCATTGGGCAGAATCAACCCACTGTTGCGAACGGCAACAAATGCAGCAAGCACAATGTACAATATGTCCAATGAGTAACAGACGGTGACAAATGAAATCAACAAAATGATCTTATCTTTCGTATCTAATTATATAATAGTGATGAGAATTGATTATATTAGTATAAAAATATAGTGACCTACCCCAATCATTCAGCATACGGCTGACCACTCCACGGTTATTTCTCATGTCCCAATAAAACACTTATTACTTTATGATCAAATTTGTAACCTTGTACTAATATCTCTTATTAGTAATATAAATGATTCAAACTGCTGAATAAGTAATTCATAAAAACCAGTTTTTAACATTTCCTACTCGACGAGTAAAGTGGTTTGTCTATTCTGTAGCTATAATGCCTTATATTAAGTATATTATTGGACCAAGAGCATCCAAGCTCATAGGTAATTGTAACTAGTCCGAAATGTATGAGTAATACTATGCATGGCTATTCATAATAAAAAGTTTATATTTAATAATTTAAAATTACTAATTCTAATTATCTATTACATAACTATACAGATACTAAGTTACATAACTTACAATACAATATAGATTTATAATACAAATGTGTCCACTGGGTGTACGCTATAGTATTTAATGCACTAGACTTTAAGTTTATATTACCATTTTATCATAATAACTCCGATCGTCTATTGGACATTAAATGGACATACTCCTTTATTGCGTTATCTATTAAATTGTAATCATTGTTGGGAGAGGGGCGAGGCATGATTTTAATAAGCATAAATTTTCATTACTCATCAACAGTTATAATTCGTATGTGCCATCAATAAAACAAATTAACCGATAATTGATTCTTAACAAAGGTTAATGACTTTTAACAATCAAGAATTTGTAAGAATTTCTTTCGAAATTAATATTATACAGTACATACATATTATTAAACACAATTTATATACATTATTATTGACAATAATTTATTGTATGTCTATGAGCGCAAAAACTTAAGATATGTATACAATTTATAGTAAAGTCCTTGAAATGAACAAAATTACGTAAACTACTGTAGTCTACAGTATGTATGCGAGAGTAGTGTACCCTTAGGTATAATCAACACAAAATGTTTTAAATACTGTCATCTTGATAATCAATATCAAACTATTTGTGGTATTAGAGTCCCACCCAAGGCCATGAGTGCCAGCACACTATAAAAATGCTCTTTATAAATATTTAGTACATTATAAAAGTCAATTCAATTCATTATACCGGGTGTTCACTAAACACAGTATAAACACAACACAAGACATGAGCGAAAAGGCAGCGAAAAAAAGTTTGCAAACATTGAAAGACTGCAAACTCGTGGAAGACGTGAACTTCGCTGAACTGGAGATCATTAGAGGCCAAACACCCGACGATATCAACGACCGGTGCCTTCAGTTATGCCAACAGTATTTGTCGGGCATTTGGTCCCAACAAACGGCCGACACTATTCACGTCAGGCGACTGACCGGTGGTCTCACTAACCAGTTATACCACTGCTCTCTCAAACACCAGTTAAGTAATCCCGTTGTCGGCGCCGATGACTGTGCGCCGCGAGAGGTGGCCATCAGATTGTATGGCAGTAAATATGTCAACATTGATGGCACGGATGGCAACGAACGGCTGACCGATATTATCATCGCTTTGTTGGCCTCCCGGAGCCGATTGGGGCCCAATATATACGGCCTCTTCGAGGGCGGAGAGATTCTGGCCTATTATAAGGTATGCGACCATTCAGTACACAAACACATCAACTAATGTACACATTTATCATTACAATCGCGACATTGATAGCACCGTCCGTTTCACGTGTCAGAGCAACAAAACCCACGGCTAGTGTCGCAGGTATTCACAAAGTTAGCCCGATTTCACGCCATGGATGTGCCGGTGCGGCGGCGGCACCACTGGTTGGCCGACATGTTTGACCGCTTCTACGAGAGGGCCGACACGACTCTCGGGATCAATACAATGGCCAAAGAGTTAGAGTGCGAGACATTCATCGAGTATGACATCGGAGTGGAGAAGGACTGGATTAAGGCGTTGATCGCCCGCACAGACAGTCCGATGGTCTTCACTCACAACGACTTCCGGAGCAGTAATATTATGATCGTTGACAACAAGGATATGATGGACGGGGAGGTCGAGGGCGAGGACTCCGATGGCCAGACAGTAGTGTTTTGCGACTTTGACGGCTCCGCCTATGGCTATAGGGGCCAGGATTTGGGCTCAATTTTCTTCGAGTGGGGCCGCACTTGGGATTCAATGAAAGACTTGCATCAGTTCCCGGACGACGAGGTGATCGCACCCGTCATTGACGTGTATATCCGGGAATCTGAACGAATATATGGCCCAAAATGGTCTCAATTGGCGGCTAATTCGGCGCATCAGATGCTTAAAGAGCTCAAGAGATTTGTTTTAGTCAATGCCTTGTTTACGATATTCACAAGTTTGAGGTGCGATGAAAAACTGCACCAAACCCTACCCCTGGATCCCAAATTGATTATGGTATATTTTCTTATGATAATTAATATTTAAATTAATTTTTTGTGTTTTTAATTGTAATAATTTTTTGGATTTTGTGACAGAAATTTTGTGAAATTTCATATAAAAACTATTGGCATTTAAAACATCAATTCATTGCACAAAATGTTGTTTAATAAACAAAAATAATTATAAATTGTACAAAAATTGTATAAAACTAATTAAACTATAAAACTTCTAAACACAAATTTTTAATATCATAAATAGAATTAAATCATTAAAGTATTTTAGTATATTTTATTTACAGTTTTATCACGATTATTTTTGTATTAATTTTAACATTATTCTTAAATTAATTTTTTATTATACGGACAAATAGACCAGAAAATTGTAGTATTAAAGTATTATTTTACTTTACTTTATTATTTTATTAATAAAATACGTAAATTCATTCGCCAATCCATTTAGCCATTTATCCAAATCTTTCAACACCTGCTCTCCAAAAATCAAAGTGGCTATGATTAGGCAAAAGTAGCAAGCACCGACCACAAGGTATAGTACAATTATTAGGACAACTATCATTATCGAAATAATGACCACAGTGCCGATAATGCCAATTGACATGTACATACTATAGACTGTATGTATGTAGATACTATAGACGCAATTGACTATGGTAAAATAGCTAGCATAAATTACAATTATCTTAAGAGAATATGACACAATAAAATGTGACACTTGATTGGCGTTAGGCCAATGGCCAGTATCGCTCCTGACATGTATAACTATAGCGCCAACCATCACAACTGTCCACACAATTCCCAACAATTGAGCCACAATAAAAATAAGCGCGACAATAGTGACTTTCGTTACCACGATGTCAATGACTAAATTCGTGGATAGTTTTTCATATTATTCATTGTGTAATTATCGTGAATATAATACATGTATGTATGTAAAGTTATATATAAATATTATTTAAATGAAATATTTTACCCAGTTTTTTGGTTGAACCATTATTTCTATTCATAGTGTTATCCTCTGTTGTCGTAATAAATCATGAATGTTATTATATGCAAATTACTTTGGTAAATGTTTTAGGTCTTGTTCATATTTATATCACGCGTGTTAATATCTATCATGACATTATAATCACGTATATGTTTGTAATTTGTATAATGTAATTCTACCCTACTCTTTTAGAAATGTGGGTTAGTTCATTCGTTAGATTTATGTGTAAATTTTAAAAGGGATGTTTTACATTCTTTGAAATTAAATGAATATCTCAATAGAGTATAAAGTTTATACTAAACTTCTAATGTTTAACATCTATACAACATACATACATACATCTGTACATGTATTTACAGTATTTTACAATGTTTATATTACAACAAAAAAAACTAAATAAGATACTGTTAATAATAATAACATCATTGACATATTGTTGGAATCATGAGAAAGAATCACAATATTAGTGAGTTTTGTGGCTTAAAACTATGGCAACAAAAAGGTGTGCTTAAAAGGGGATAAATATCGTCTAATTAATAAAGTACTTTAATATTCAATTGAATAC